AATATTAATTAATAATTTAGTATTTTTTAATGTTTATTATAAAATTATTAGATTAGAAATTTATCATTTTTTATTATTTTATTAGTAAATTGTAATTTTTTAATGAAATAATTCTTTAAAATAACTACTAAACAATTAACGAGTTGCTCGTGAACTTATTAAGTTAAGTTAAACTTTGCTTGAATCAATTTGTTAAGATTTATAGTCGAATTCGAGTCGAGTCAATCCGAGTCGAATTTTTACCAAACTTTGACTGAATCGAGTTCGAGTTGCTCACAAACTGCTCAACTCAAAACTCATTAAACGCTTATAGTTGTAACGATCTAAAATTCTAGTTGATATTTAAATATTGATTGGGAATAAGTTAAACAAAGTGGTTGGCTTAATGGAGTCCTTTGAGTCATGGTTTCGGCTACAATGTGAGAGTGTTGGGCTCATCCATGGGCTAAGATGATGATATTTTTTTATCTAAATGAAGAGTGGAGGGACTTTGGAGAAAATTTCCCCTTTTATACAAATCATACGTGCCCAAATCTTTTTCATCAGCTATCAAGATCACCACCACCATCAATCTCCCACTGGTCTGAGAATATATCATATTATTTTGAAATATTTTGTCTGTAATCTTGGATGCCATCTATATTGTTGTTACGTTTGGCATCTTTCACAACAACATATTTGCTTACTGTTTGTCATTTGAGATTGTAATGAAATGATAAAATGATCTTGATTTAAATGAAATTTTAATTGGCAATATATATATATATATATGAGTATTAATTTTTAGGGTAAATTATATTAGTGATCATAAAAAATATTATCGTTATTTTATTTTGGGTATTGGACTATTTTTTAAGGATTGATAATTTATTATTAATGAAACTTTTTATTAAAAATATGATTTGATGATTAAATAAAAAAGCAACAATAATTTAGAGATTACTGTTATATATTGTCCTAAAAAAACTGAAGTACAAAGATAGGAAGGGGAGCACGCGGCCACTGAAGTGGCATCTTGTCTGTCTCATGCTAAATCTAATCTTAGGGTTAGGCCTCTCCAACCACATGCGCCCATGGCATGTCTTATGTGTGCCACCATCAAATAAATAAATAAATAAATATGGTATTGACTTACTATTTCCAAATCATAAATAAAATGGGAACAAAGTTTTTTTTTAAATATATTCCCACATGTTTTGATTCTGTCAATCTTGCTGAATTTCAACTAAAACTCAATTGCTTTGACATTCTGGTTAAATGTTTTCTTCAACTTCGTTTCATCGTAAATGTTGCTAGAAAAATAGCAACATCTTGGGATTATTTTCTTTGCTTATGACCAATTGAAACGACCATGAGACCAAGCTATCTTGGTTTGATGTGGGTGGCAATATATTATTTGTTGATCGTATTGACCTGAAAAGAATGTTATATAAAGTCGGACACAATCCCTTTGGGAACCCAAAATGGGTAAATCATAATTGGACTACCTAAAGACAATCCCTTTGGGCCAAGAGATGGACTCTTTGTGAAAACAAGGCCGAACTCCTTTGTTAATATTACTTATGTAGTTTACTCGTTTCTGGAGGTTACTTTAGGTGTTGCAATGTTGTTGTGGTGACAAACATCCCTATTAGTAGTGCCTATAGCTTCTTTGTGAACATGCATGGTGAATTCAAAGACCTCTCTTTTGTTTGCGATCGTGGAGATGTATGATGGAGGAGCTTGCCAAACTCTCCGCTCATATGTTCGGACTGCTACTTTAGCTCCGACTGCCTCTTATACGAACCGGGCAAGTGAAGAGGGCATGTTTCATGAAAGCAAGGCCCTGAATGATGTCACTTAGCCTCCAGCGCTCATAAGAAAAGTGATTCGAGTGAATAAAGTGTGTAACGCTTTTAGTCTCGTTCTCCGAGAGATGTTCCGCTGCACATGCTAATTATGCAGTTGGATTCTACATGCGACGAACATAAATATCAAGTACATCGGGGGATTTTCTGAACAGAGTGAGGTGATATTGGTTATTTTCTGAACATAATTTTATGTTATGAGGTGTTACATGTTCATCACACCAATTATTGATAGGAATAAATGAATTATGTCCAGTGCTGACGGTTCATCTCTTTAGGTTTGGATGGAGAGTCGTAATCAATAGTTAGTAGTCAAACATCCATTGATCGATGTCACAATCCTCTATTTTCCCTCATGAAAATAGCGGAGGTGAAGATATTAGGTGTTAGTCCCTCTCTAAGTATTGGTCTAATGATTTTATAGTATCCTTTAATATTGCTGTAGATGTAGTGTTATTATGACTCCTCGTAAGTTGATATATTCAATAAATATGGTCAGTTGAAAATAGATTTAATTTTAGTATATAACATAAGACTATTAGAGATCATGTTAAGAGATTGTTATTTTCTAAAGAGTGTTAGACGTTTGAGATAAATGTTCTCTCTCGAGACCTCCCTTATAAATTTTATTAGTGAAGCAAAGAGTTTTTCGAAGGCCCTCATATGCATAGATCAATTTTGCAGAAAAAATTTAAGAACAACAGACGGATAGATTTCCTTCTTGTTGCAAAATATTATTTACACTTTATGGGCCTTAATTCGCTCATAATTACCGTACTTTTTAAGTAATTTTGCATCGTTCTACATTTTTAGAAATATGTCTCATGTTTCGTTTTTAGTTATTTTATCAATTTTTGTTCAAAAAAATTATTTTATCATTTTAACATATTTTTCGATTTTTTTATGAATTATGACTTAATAAGATCTCTTCAAGTCGTTTCTAATATTTTCATGTTACATTATAAATATTATGTATGTAAAGAGGAAGTAGTTAAGATAGACCCCAACTTTTCTAGGGTTTACAAATATACCTTAAAACTTTTAATATTTTAAACTTCCACCTATTTTTTTTAAATATCAGTTTTACCCCCAAATTTCATAGTTTATTCAAATTGGATCCCTAACTTCGTTAGAATTCATAGGTTAACCCTTGAAATTCTATATTTTCAAAAAAAAAACCCTCAACTTTCCAATGTTTACAACTTAACCCTCGATTCTTATTATTTTTCCCAATTTAATCCAAAATTCCCATTTTCAATTAAAACTCTAAATTTTAAATTAAATAAATTAAAAAAATGACCAAATCATTCAAAAATTATAACCAGATGATTGAGGCCTTACAATTAGTTACACATTCGAAAACTTTGTACTAGAAACCGGATAAAAGAGTACCTATATATATGGCTTCCCCCTCATCAAACTAACGTTATATTTCTAGAATGTGGATGATTAAAGAGAAAACAAGAGAAAATGGCTTTATTAAACTTTACAAAAAAGAATTATATTGTTGTGGGGTCCCTTTGTTAGAAATTTTCCCAGAACTGAACCTATCAGCATGAGACAAGTTGGGGTACCAAATTCCTAATTTTTACATTATGGAACCAATTACTGATCAAGACACAATTGGACGAGGATTCCCTAAACTGATTTAGTATCAACATCCAACGGCTAACACACCTTCTCTTAAACTCCCATATATAATCTTAACCGTAGAAGAATCACGGGACCAAGCCTGCCTGCCTTCTGTCATCCACATCTCCTTGGCTTTTCGCTTTCATCACTATTGCCCTTACAGCTATGCAATGTCTTGCAATTAGCACACACCTATACCTCTGTAAGTCTGTATAAGGCCCACACCTATACCTCTGTAAGTCTGTATAAGGCCCGGGTGGACCGACAATCTTAGCCGAATAGTTGTAACTTTAATCCCAATATATTTAAATTTAAATTTATTTATTTTAGTAATAAAGTGATTAACAATCATAGGAGACAGTAAATGAAGTGTTCCGGTGATGATTCCGATAGTTTTCGTGGTATTAGCCTGGTTTGGCAATGAAGAAGTATGTTTGTCCTTTTACTTTCTACTGCATAGTTATTTATAAAAGATAAAACGCTTCGTTTTAAATAAAGTGTGTGGTAACTTAGCAGCCAATCAATTATAACTAATCAATTTGAAATTCAAAATTTCAAAATTTGAACACCACTCGTTTTAACACTCTAACTTCCTGCTCATTTTTCCAAGATTGTGAATGTCATTTTATAACCTCCACTCACATGGGGATAATTCTTACTATTTGCGAACCTCTAATTTCGCGAATATAACAATAGAACATGATACTTACGCGAATCTGTAGATATGCAAATCATGTCTGTGAATAAATCAATAATAATTATGTGTCGATCACCTACTATCTACGTGAACATACTTTGTGCATAATCATCAACGATCATATGTTGATACACGTGATCTCTTAATCTAGACAGTCACTTTCTAAGACATATAATCAGTACATATGCCAAAATAATTTTTTATTAACACATATTCAAGACATTATAAATAACCATACAACAAAGAGCAAAGGGCGGACAAACTTCTTCAATCTTCACAACCAAACTAGATCAATATCATCAAAACTACCAGAATCATCACTATTGACTACTGTTGATCACTTTATTAGTCAACAAATTTATTTAAATTTAATTAAATATTATTGTTAATGAAATATTTTTAATTTTAGATAAATAATGATTTAAAAAAAAAAGATAAATAATGATTTTTTTTAAAAAAAAAGATAAATAATGATTTTTTTAAAAAAATAGATAAATAATGAATTCAAGTCAGCATATTGGGTCAGATCAAACTAGAAACATCTATGAAGGAATAATATTAAAATTTCAAGCAAGAACTCCTTGACCCATTAACGGATCGGGTCGTTCCATTTCGCTCCATTCTTAAAATGTTATGGATAAATTACTAACACGGTCAATTTTGTTTTATAAGTATTCATTTTTTTCACCATTTTTTTAAAAAAATTCACTTATGTTATTTGTTTATAAGTTTTTTGTCGTTTACATTATCGATTTATAATACTTTATTCACTGAAACATGGAATGTTGTTAGTTAAAGACATGGCACATTAATAAATAACGTTAATTTTTAATACAAATTATTATTACGACATACACAGAACAATTTAGCAACATTGTCTCTAAAATTCCAGGAAATAAACAAGAAAATCGCTTCTCCTGCAGCCAATAATTCAACTCACTGTGTAAGAGATAAAAAAAAGAAAAAGAAAATCCAAAAAATTCAGTAATTTCACTAATTTGAAGCTTCAAACTCATACCATTAGATACAATACTATACAATATACAGCAACACTACTGCTTTGCGATCGGAGTATCTGACCGTCAGATTTGATCTCCTCGTGAAACCCCACCGGCGATGATGCTGGATTACTTAACCAAGCTGATATCTCCGGTGACGGGGATAATTCCGGCGGATGAACAGCTGTCCCTACCACTGAATGCCCTGGCTTCGGAATTATCCCCGGCGGATCTTTCCCAAAAATCTCTCTGGGCAACAATACCTTGGAAACACCGAAAATGGCAACGGGATTTTGGTCAAAAACCGTTTGGGTAACCGATGCTTGAACGATTCCCGTATCGATCAAAACGGATCCGTTGAATCTCGAAATATTGAGAGTGAAGCTACCCGCGCCGCTATCCTCAGTCGCTAGTGTGGGTTGAACCGGGTTCACGATCGACTCCAGAGAACCCAAAGGATAATAAGAATGAAGCACGTGGAATTTTAGAACCACCGATTTCTTATCAGCCGGAAGCGACTGCAATCTCACGTTTCCCGGCAGATCGCCGAAAGCACCATCTGTGGGAACGAAGAAACTTATCCCAGCACCACCTTCATCGGCTTCGAATTCATCGACCACTCCCGAAGCGGATAACATTGCGGAGGCGACGTTGAAATTGTGGCCGTCGATCAAGGCTTTGGTAATGTTGAGGCCGAGGGGAGGGCGGGTTTCGGAAGCCATTAAGTTGATGTCATACGGGACGAGGAGGGAATTAACGGCGAGGATCGTGATATTGTAAGGCAGAGTTTTGATTAGGGACAAAACGGTGGCGTTTGAAGCGGTGTAAGGGGCGGGTGATTGGATTGTAATGGCGTTGGTTAATGGGGTGCGCGTGATGTTGACGGCGCCGAAGTTAGCAGGGGCCCGGCCTGTTGTTTGGAGGAGGGTCGTTATGAGGACGCCGGAGGGCGGGATCTGGAGGAGGTTGGTCCAGGAGAAGTATTGTAGGAGGATGTGGTAGCGGAGTATGTCACCCAGTGAGGACAGCGGGAGGCGGCGAGTGAGATCGGAGGAAGGAGGAGTGGAGAGATAGGGGTTTGGGACGGCGAGTAGAGTGATGGGGCCTTGCCGACGCTTGAGGTCGGAGTCGACAGAAGTAGAACTGAGGAGGGAGGCGAATGAGGTAAAGTTTTGGAAAGATGAGAGAATGGATGTTATATTAAGATCAGTGACGGCGGTGGAGGAGGAGGATAGGAGGAGGAAATAAACGAATGTGAAAGGGGTAATATGGGAAATAAATAATAGAACTGACATGCCTTTGAGCTCTCTCTCTCGCAGAATTTGAGAGTGAAAGGGAAAAAAGAATGGGTGGACTGTGGACTGTGGACTGTGGACAGAGAGGCGTTGATTGTTTCAGAGATCCAGCGAGCGAGAATATGATTTCATTTTTTTACAAGAATTCCAGTCTCTAAATATGTTATATTATTTTATAGTATTATGAATTTAGTATCAAATATATTTTCATTTACTAATATTTATTATATTAATATTTCGGATTCTATAAAAATCAGCTACTTTTTATTTTTGTTTGTTGTGTCCTCACTCGCAGCTCTGGTGTGAAGACACGTGCTGTTATTAACAGAATACGTTTATAAATTGAAATTACAAATAAGGTAATGGGAGAGTTGTGAACAAGTTTCAACGTCCTAAGCAAAGCTTTATCTTTGTAATGACTTCAGACAGACAGACTCCTCTGGATTATGTTAATGTCACGTGTCATTCCACCATTACTTTCATTACCTAATTTATTTTATATTTCTAAATTTAATATTATAATACGATCATTTCAATTTGATCCACCAAAAATATTACATTAATTCCTATAATGTTCAATAAAATATATATTATAAAATCTTATAAAAGCTAATTAGTAAATATAATAATCATATATACGACTTTAATCCATTCATACAATATATTCTTTTTATTTTATATAAATTTAAAATGATTTGATGAAAAAATAGATAACTATTCACTAAATATTCGCATTTTCTGTTATTTATTGTAATTATTTTTTTTATTTGTCTGACAATTCTAAATATATATAAATAAATTACAATTTAAATGTCTTAAAATAAATTACAATTTAAATGTCTTAAATTTAATTTTTTTAAATATTTATTTAATCTGAAATATGGATTTCTATTTGTTTTAAGTTTTCATGATTTACTATTATATTATTTTTATAATATTTATATGGCATAATGTTAGAATTAGTCTCCAACATTTATTAGAATGATCATTTTAATTCTTATTATTTTTTTTAGTGTTTTGGCTCAAATGCCTCATTTTAAGGTAAAAATGTCTCTAATATTTGATTAAATAATCATTTTAGCTTTTATTCTTTTTATTTTATAGCATTATATTTTAAGATAATGAAGCCCCTATTTAGAGCGTTAATTGTTTATTAACTAATAGTTTCCATCTATGGAGGAACATTTTTGTCTTAAAATGAAACATTATAAAATGCTTCCTAGAAAAAAATCAAAATAACTATTTTGATAAATATTAGGACTAGTTTGATGTTATGACTATTTATCTTTAATATATATATAAAAATAATATATTAAGCTATATTCCTAACCGATGATTGTAAATTACAACTCATCTGGGGATAGTAATCGTCATGTATCCAATGACGCCGCTTGTCGCCCGCCTTCTGTAAAAGCTACGAGTATCTTTTAGTCAACAAGCCCCTAATCGGGAATCAACCACGGACTCTTCTCCTGTGCGTCACACTCTAACCCACCACCTCATGAAAGATCCAATGGTGATGGTGTAAGATCTCCCGGCCACCGTCGCAGTCAAAGCTGTGATAGAGAATATTCTGACAAGGATGGGGATTGGAATTACAATCAGGGTAGCAATTTAACGAAGCTGAACGATCTTTACGGTGATACGAGTGGAGATGGTGGCCATGAAATGGTACCAAACCGGGACAACACTAGCTGGAAACATGGAAATAATATATTTTAAAAAACATTTTAAATTTCTAAAAATTTATTTTATATATCGAATCAATCAAATGATTAAAAGAGAGATTATTCTCCTTAAAATAATTTAATTTGAACAGTTATATTTGAATGATATATAAAAGTTATTGGTAATTAAAAAAATTAAAATTATATTATATATTAATCATTCCGTACTATTCAAAATTATTATGCATACAAATTGGAAACATGTAAATTTGCAATGATAAAGATGAAAGGGCTCTTGGTTTATGCAATAGCTGGCTGGAACCATTCACGAAGTTGGCATTTGAAGCACTCTCCCCACGCAAACATCATATAAAATATTTATTTATAATGCCAAACAAGCGTCCCCGTCCAAAATGAATTTGGGTTTTTAGTGAATTATCTAGCAGTGTTTTTGCCCTATTCCTATTTTGGTATAACCAAACAAAAATACATATATAATTTGATTGTTGAATTTCTCATTTCTTGAAAATTAAACAATTACATTATTTTTACCCAAAACAATATAAGCAGAGACGGTCGCATGAATTTATGTTAGGGGATGCGAATATAAAAAAATATATTAAAAATTTAAGGGTACGAGATTATAAAATCTCAGAGGGTGTGAAATCAAATAATTCATATAAAATATAAAGAAAATATCTGATATATAAGAGATTTTAAAATTTCTAAAGGGTGTGACCGCACCCAACATCCCTCTATCCATCCATGAATATAAGGAAATGAAATGTATTTAGGCTTTTTATTCTCCATATACCTTTTAATCTTGACCCATTTTGAGTTTGAGCAAGTGATTGTTGATAGTTTGTTTCATTTACTTCTTTTTACAATTTATTGTCTCAATTAAACCAGTCATTTTTGTCAAATACGAAACACTGACTCGCTTAATGTAAAACTCTAAATTCATTATAGTTTTATTTAATTATATAAAAATTAATTTAAGTTTAAAATATTTTTTATTAAGAACAAAAGTATTACATTTCTAAGACAAAGGTTAGAGTTTGAACCCACACAAAATGAGATAACATGAACATCATTAACAACTCAACCAATTAGTAAATCCCAAATTTAAAAATATCTTAAACCAAAAATCAAACTTAAAACTATTCAAATTAAAAAATAAAATCTAAATTAATCTGATTTAATTAGATTACTCAAAATCAACTCAAACTATTCAATTAAGTCTATTCTCTACACAAACTAAAAGATTTCGGTGGATAAAAAATTATTTTTATTCATTGGGATATTGGATTCGATCATCACATATGCATGGATGCATGAGCATTCAATGTCAATTGGTTGAGAGTATTTGAACATATGTAAACTTGTATTCACCCCATATTAATAAAAATAGTCTGATTGGTTGTAACACATCTAATTTAACCTAGTCAAAAACTGGATTAATAATATAGTATTTAACTGATCGTATATCAAGTTGATTATAAAAAGATAAGACAAATATTAAACTCGTCTTTAATTTCAAAAGAATATTAGTAATAAAATTATTATTACAATTTAATTTTAAAAGAAAGGCAATGAGTTCTATGTTTGATTTATGGAGTTTGATACATTTTTCGATTAACGAACATCAAATTTGTGTTTAAGATGCAAAAACGAGTAAATTTGAAATTTTGGAGTACAATGGTCGTAAGTGATGACATGCAACTGTAGTGAGTGACGATTGACGACTTAGGACTTTGATCAAATTTAGGGGTTAAATTGATTATTTATCTAAAGATCAAAGGTTAAATTGATATTTTATCTAAAGTTTAAGGGTTGAATTAGTATTTTATTAGAAGCCCAAAGGTCAAATTAAAATTAATATTTTTTATTGACGTGTCATATCATCAAATTAACAACATTTAATATTCTAAAGACTAAAATATTACAAGCAATAACATAAATAATCAAAATGTATTTTTTTAAAATCAATAACAAAAAATGAATAAAAATAAAATAAAAGTGATCATTTTTGTAGTTTATCCATGAATTTTTGTTGTTGAAAACCATCCCTGTGATTAAATATCATTACCTAATTCATAACCTATAAATAAATCATAGTTATCTAAACTTAATTATAATCAAAGTAGAATTCTTCACAATACATTGAAAATTTAACTTTATCCAAATAATAAAATCATGTTTTAATATCGCGAAAAGATGGAGGACGATTATTGAATAATTAAGGAAATATAAATATTTTATAGTGTAGGTAGAATTATCAGTAGCTGAAAAAGACTTTAATAAAATTGCTAACAATTATTATCAATTTTATTATATTTCTTATATTTTTAGGATCAATTAAAAAATTAAAAGTATAATAAAATAAAAATATATTTAATATTTTTTCATTTTTAAATTAAAAGTATAATAAAATAAAAATATATTTAATATTTTTTCATTTTTATAATTTAATATTAAAAAGTAAAAATAATATTAGAGCAAAGTATTAAAATTATATTCATTTCTCGACAAATTTATTAATTATTGTAAAAATATATTTATTTTTCTAATTAATTTAATACCATTCTATATTTCTAATTATTTTTTACATCTATTTTCCTTCAATTTTACCGAATTATTGTATATAAAAATTCAATTTTTAGAACTACAATAAATTTCATTCTCCAAACTGTAGACATTCATTTTCGTCCGGAGTTTTTTTATATATAATAATATAGTATAGTTTTTAAAAATATTTTCAAAAAACGTATAATGTATTGTTTTTAAAACGGTTATTGAAAACATATAATATATAGTTTTCCCCTTGAACTGTCTTTTCGGTACCGTTTGAATTTATCGATTGTCTTAATTGAGAAAATTAAAATTTAAAAACTCGATTCAAATTACTTACATTTGATTGATTAAAGTTGTCCCTAACTAGTCGAAAGAAATATTAAATTGCGAAATATATAAATATAAAAAAGAGAAAAAATAAAAAAATAAAAAATAAAAAACTATTTTTTTAAAATTGAGAAAATAAATAAATAAAGATAAATAAATAAATAAAGATAAATAAATTTGAGAAAGTATGAAAATTAAAAAAATAAATAAAAAGTTAAATTTTGAAAGTAAAAAATAGAACAAAATTTAAGAAAAATACAAAAACCAAAAAATAAACAAATACGTAAATAGATAAAAATTAAATGATCAAATTGAATTAAATTGGAATTTATGGACTGAAATTAATGCTAAAAAATGAATTGTAAGAGAAAAAATAAAATTAGAGGGTTAATTCACAAAATATAAATAATAATTAAATTGAATAAATTCAAAATTTAAGGGTAACTCTACAATAGGTGACTGGATTAAATTACTCTTAAAAATTGGGAGGTCTGCGAAAATAATTTAAGAAACTTGTAATTACACACAAGTCATCGACTATATAATTTAAAATGATCAAGGGCAGCTCTAATGTTTTTTTAAGTCGAAGTCTAATTTCAGGCCCACCCAAAAAACGGTTAGAACACAAACAAAATTATTAATGTGATTTCAAAATTATTTTAAGAATTAGTCTTCCTTTTATTTATATTCAGGGGGAACCTATTATTCAAATTCCCATTAAAGATGAAAAAGAAAAAAAGAAGAGTCAAAGTCCCATTGAGGACTTCAGCGACGCCGTTTAAGATCAGGATTCCTAGGGTTTTTCTCTTAAAAGAAGAGAAGCTAAAGCCCTCTCTTTAAAGCCAAACTTATATACTCTAAGCAAACTCCTGACAAGAAAATACATCCGAAGAGGCGGGATCCAGTATGGACAAGAACATGTTAGCAGGGCTCGAGGGTCTCCCTGAAGAAGATAAGAACCGAATGTCCGCCATGATCGACCATCTTCAGCTTCGTGACAGGTGTTTAACACTCTTTTTTCCGCCCTTACATTTTCCCATTTTGCTCTCACCAAATTTGCTTGTTCACTTCCCGATTCGATTCCTGGATTTTGATGAGTAATGAAGTTTTAGAAAACGGGTTAAGCTTGCTCGGGGTATACAATTCTTGGGGTTCTTTTAATTATTATGTTTGGTATCGTCAGCTTCTCGAATTGTAGAAAATGCAGGGTTTTGTGGCTCTGTGTATGATGAGAAGCTGAAGATATATTCTCCTTAAAACCAGTGCAGCCTTTTTATGTTGCCTCCGGACGTTTTGGGAATTACATTTCTACAATATGGATTATGATTCTCTTTTTAGTGATGTTTTAGCTAGTGTTTTGTCTGCATTTGCTTTCATTGAATGAAAGTATTTTCTGTTTATAAATTGTCTTTCATTTTAGGTTTGGATATTATATACACAAATAATTATTTTATTAATCATGAAAATGGAGTGTTTATTTTTTTTAAAATGTCTACAATCGAATCAAAACCAAAATTTTATGTGTACAACTGAACCAAAATCAAAGTTTCATGCATAGAACTGCATAAAATCAAAACTCATGTATCACATCGCATATTTGACCAAAGTTCATGTGTAGTTTTAATATTTATCCCGAATTTTATTTCTGTTGCTTTTCCTGGTGGTGCTTATAATGCCACAATGGATTTTTCTGTTTATAATGCCTACCTGGGATTTTGGGGATAATTGATGGTTAGGGCATTGTTATTTGTGTAGACTTATTGGAATTACTACCCAAAGGCAAATGCCTCTTTTACATAGCCTTGGAGAAGACAAAAAGAGGGTGAGGCTGTTTGCTGGAGTTGGGAGGTTTTGTGCAACGACCATATTTCCATGTACAGTTTTCTATATGTACTGCTTAAAGAGCCTTTTTCTATATTTGATGTACAGTTTGAGGATGTACAATTCACTTGTGGAGAGATGCTTCAATGACTGCGTGGACAACTTCACCCGCAAGACTCTGCAGAAGCAAGAGGAGACCTGTGTCGCACGATGTGCTGAGAAGTTCTTGAAGCACTCCATGCGTGTAGGACTGAGGTTTGCTGAGCTCAACTCCCAGTCTGCAACACAAGATTAGAAGCTAATAAACAAGCTTGAGTGGGGCTTAAAATGCTTCTGCTTTATCACATGGGATTTTCTTTTCGGGACAAATTGGGGTCTTCCTCAGATGAAACACGATATGTTGCCGGGGTTGACAATTGTTGTTAATCATAGGACTTGTTAATGTTGATTTTCTGATAAGAAATTTAACAGATTTTATTTATGCAAGATGGTTCATCACCATGATAGTTGATATGGTGAAATACCTTGATACTTTTTTTCTTCTGGATTTATGAAAACATGTTGGTTCTCTTTGGTGCAAATAAAACATGCAGCGATAAAAGCCCAATTCTTAGTTGTAGGCTGTGTATTTAACGATCTTATTGAAATGGACAAACAATGGAATGCTTTGAAAGCTTACCCACTTGTATAATAGTTTGATAATCAGAATGGAGTAGGCTGTGTATTTAACGACGTAATCAATGAATAATTTCGTTTACCTGCTGTGAGTAGTTACATAAAACCATGCCACTATTTCTCAAGCTTTGAAATCCGAAGGAGTTTTTTCAACAAAAAGTCTAAAATGTCCACCGGCGGCCAACATATTCTTATCTATCCGTTCCCATCCTCCGGCCATGTCATCCATTTCCTCGACCTTACTCACCGGTTACTCAAACGCGGTCTAGCTATGACTATATTTGTTACAACCAACAATCTGCATCTCCTCGAACCCTCCGGACCCGCCATGCTTCCTCTTCTCTGCGCCACCTCGTTCTCCCCGACCCAGACCCGTTGAAAACACCCCTTTTCATTGATAGACTACGCCGCTTGCGTGAGCTTCACTATCCTGCTCTCCGCCAATGGTTTCAGTCCTTAACTTCTGCTCCCGTTTCTATTTTTTCCGATTTCTCCCTTGGTTGGACTCAGAGTCTCGCTTCCGAGTTAGGCGTGCCACGGATCATCCTCTCACCCTCCAGTTCCTTCAGTTTCGCGTTCGACATTTAGTTTTGTTCAGACACACAGAGGATTGATCCTCAGGACTTAAACCAGACGTTGTCGTTTCCGAGGCTCCCTAATTCTCCTGAATTCCCTGTCTATCAAATATCCCCTACTTTCAGAAACTACAAAGATGGCGATCCAGTGATGGAATTTTTTATAAGAAACATGTTGGAGAATCTTGAGAGTTGGGGAATTGTTTTCAACACATGTTGGAGAATTCTGAGAGCATCTACATCGACCACTTGAAGAAAGAAATCATGGGTCACAAACGGGTTTGGGCGGTAGAACCCGTGATGATGATGCCATTGGAAGACGATGGCTTGGACGCAACGAATCGCGGTGGTTCCAGTACGGTTCCGTTTAATGAGCTGATGGCGTGGCTGGACTCACGCGAAGAGAATTCCGTCATCTACGTGTGCTTTGGGAGTCACCAGGTGCTGACACCTAAGCAAACAGATGAGTTGGTGACGGGGCTAGAGGAAAGCGGGGTCCACTTCGTTTGTTGCGTCAGGGAATATGGCTTGATTCCGGAGGGATTCGAGGATCGTGTTGCGGGGAAAGGGATTCTGATTAAAGGGTGGGCACCGCAAGTGGCGATTCTCCAACACCGAGCCGTTGGAGCGTTTTTGACGCACTGTGGGTAGCGCTCTAAAATCAGGTAATTGGACAGGATTCAATCGGATCTTGACAGATCAGGTAAAATCGGGTATATGTTAACTAGAGATGCACATTGCCGGATTTAAATCCGATCCGGATCGGATAAAAACCGATCCAGTTTTTTCACTAAGCCAAAAAATCGGTTTATAAAAAAACCGGTTCGGATCATAACCGGTTTAGAGGGCCGGATGATGTAACCGGTTTCGGTTTGAAAAAAAACGGTTTTTTAAAAAAATAGGGTTTTAATCCGGTAAAAAATTCGGTCATCCAATTTTTTTAAACCCCATACCGGATTTTTTTCGGATAAAAAACTAATTTTTTATCCGGTTTTTTTCAAACCGGTTTTTAATCCGGTAAAAAATTCGGTCATCTAATTTTTTCTCAAACCGGTTATACTATCCGGTTTTAAAATATCCGATCCGGTTTAAAAAAACCCGGTTTTTCCCAAATCCGGTTTCGGATATTTTTTATACAAAATCGGATATTCGGATTTTTTGTGCACCTCTAATGTTAACTCAGATCAATTTGATGGTTTGATTCGGATCAAGTCGGTACAAGTCAAATCAGTTCGAGTTATTTTCACGTTGATTTGACATCAGATCCAGATCGGGTTCAGGTCAGGTCATTTTCAGTTCGGATCGATTCCAGTTCGGATCGATGCCAGTTCGGATCGATGCCAGTTCAGGTACGAAGCAGATAAAGACCAGGTTAATTCAGGTTCAGATGGACTTCAGTCGGATCTCGTTCAAATCAGGTCACATCATTGACAGATAAAATTCAGGTCGGATGTTTATCGGATACAGATTGAGTTCAGGTCGGGTCGTTTTTATTTTTGTTTTAATTATGTTGTCATTTTTTGTAATTGTTGAATTGCAAGTTGTAATTGTATATGATTTCGAGTAAATTAAGAGAAAAATAAATATTCATGGATCAATTTTGTAAAAAATATAAATTTAATGACAAAATTGAAGAAATGTAAAATTACAAATAAAATCTTAAAATATAAATTAAACAACACACATAGGTAAGGGACTAAATCAAAATAAATTTAAAATATGAGGTTTAAATTAATATATAAAAGGACTAAATTAAACATATTTAAAAAATTATGGGTCAGTTACAAAAATATAAATAAATAACAACTACCAATGGGCCAAATGAAGATGTAAATATAAATTTAAGGACTAAATTGAATACATATAAAAGTGAAAGACTTAAAATTGAAATAAATTAAAAAACAAAAGGATTAAATCAAAATAAATACAAAATGTGAAGAAATAATGAAAATATAGTAAATTACATTCATTTAAAAAATTGAATATATATATATATATATAATATAAGTTTGTATATAAACTATATTTATATTATAAACTATATAATTATTATTATAAGCTATATATATGAATTATGTTTATGTGAACTATGTATATAAATTATATATGTATAAATTATAAAAAGTATATAATTTATAAAATATTATTTATATTAATATATATATATATATATATATATATATATGTATGTATATAAACTATATATGTATAAATTATATAAAATATATAGTTTATATATTATAATTTATATTAATATAGTATATATATATATGTGTGTGTGTGTATGTATAACTAATATAAGTAATATATATATATATATATATATATATATATATATATATATACTATGCATAAACTATATAAAGTAATAAATTATATAGTTTATAAAAACCCTAAATCTTAAAACATAAACCCTAAATCCTAAATTTTATAAACTATATATGTATAGACACATTTGATAATTCATATATAGTTTATATAAACAATAATTTATATAAATTATATATGTAACATTAACCTATAGTCTATAAACAATAGTTAATATATGTAACTTATAGTATATGTATACATGTAAACTATATATGTAACTTATAGTACATGTATGTATAAACTATGTATAGTATATATATATATAAACCATATAAAGTAAATTACTTATATAGTTTATAGAAACAATATGCATAAACTATATAAATTAATAAAGTATATAGTTTATAAAAAACCTAAACCCTAAACAAAATACATAAACAATAGTTAATATATGTAACCTATAGTATATGTATACATGTAAACTATATATGTAACTTATAGTACATGTATGTTTAAACTATATACAATATATATAAACTATGTATATATATAACTTATAGGATATGTATATATACAATCTATTTATATGTTATATAAACTATATATGTAACCTATAGTTTATAATCAATAGTTTATATTAGTGTACTATATAGTTTATACTTTATAACCTATAGTATATAATTTATAAACTATAGTTTATATTTTATAAACTATAGTTTATATTAATGTACTATATAGTTTACATTAATGTTAATTATCTTAACTATAATTTATATTAATATAGTATATGGTTTATAAACTATATTATATTAATATTAATTATATTAACTATAGTTTATAAACTATACTATATAATTTATAACCTATAGTTTATATTAATATTAATGTTATAGACTATATTTTATATTAATATTAATTACAAATTATAAACTATATTATATTAATATAAGTTAATATTAATATTAATTATAATATATAATTATTATAATATTAATTATAAATAGTTAATTAATAAAAACTATATAGGGATGAAATTGAAATAATTTAAAATATAATGATTAAATTGAATTATTAATGTTGGACTAAATTGAATAAAATCAAAAAGAGGGGATAATGCTAAAATACGAAAGGAAATTAAAAAACACGTGAATCCTTAACATGACCCGAACGGATTGCTATATAAGGTCAAAATTTTTGTTTTTTTTTCTCATTTTCAATTTCCTATTCATTCTCTCATTTTGTTCTCTCTCTCTCTAACTCTTCGTTTCTCTCAAATTCTTTGTTTTCTCTCTATAAGTTCATATGTGTTCTTCATTTTTCTTTGAAAAAACCTTTTTTTGATCTTCAAAAACACCAAATCCAAAAAAAAAATATTTTTTTGGATCAAACACTCGAAATTACATCATTGTTCATACCAAAACCCTCATTTGATCTTCATAAACACCAAAACCCATACGATTTCTTTTTTTTCGATCAAACACGCAAACTTTTCTCCCTTGTTCATCCCAATTCATATTTGTTCTTCACAAAAACCATCCATTGATCTTCACAAACACCAAAACACATACCACTTCATGTTTTTTAGATCAAACCTCTCGTTGATCCTTACAAACACCTAAACCCTTAAATCATTTTGTTTTCTTCGATCAAACCCAAACCTATTTATATTTTGTAACCAACCCTAACTTAAACTCAAAACCTAAACTAGAACCTGAACCTCAACCTGTACTCAAACCTAAACCCGAACCCAAACACGAACCAAACCGAACCCAAACCCAAAACCCAAATCCAAACCCAAACCTAAAAACCCTAATCAAGCATCTTCACTTGCTGTCGATGTTGATATTCGAATACTTTTTTTTCAAGGGTTTCATGGACAACTTTTCTTACGAGTTGAATGGTCTAGATATGTTTAGTATTTTATTATTTTGTTTTTGATTTTAATATTGTTTATAATATATTTTTCATTTATTTTGTAGGAGAAAACCCAACAAATCAGAATGAATGGCATTCTGAAAGAGGTAAATAAAATGTTTAATTTGTAACTACTGTTGATTTGTTTCCTCTATAGTCTTTGTTTGTGTTGTTGGTTGTTCATTCAGATTGCTTTTATAAGGTTGTTAGCTGCCTTTATTTACAGTTTAAATAAACTGTTTAATTTGTAGTTACTATTGATTTGTTAGTGTTGTTGGTTGTTCATTCAGATTGTTTTTATAAGGTTATTAGCTGCCTTTATTTACAATTTAAATAAATTGTTTAATTTGTAGCTACTGTTGGTTGTTCATTCGGATTACTTTTATAAGGTTGGTTGCTAACTCTAATTTTTTTTTTGCAAGGGGATATAAATGATGTACTATCCGAAGCAGTTGATTTAAATAAATCCTATAAGAGGAAGTCCACTGATTCATTCAATTTTGGGAGAAGAACCTCTGCTGTTTGGGACCACTACACATTCACCAAATCTGATGATGGTTCTGTTTATGCCGAGTGTAAGTATTGCAAATTGAAAAGGTATAAAACTGATTCTTATATTGGTACATCTAACCCTAGAAGGAATACTGAGAAATGCCAAGCATATAATGATTTTCTTGCTGAAAATCCAGATAGTGTAGCTTCTTTTGATCAAAACAAATATTGTGAATATTTGCTGAGGCTATTTTGTGTCATGGTTATGCATATAATATAGTTGATCGATCATGCCAAACTTAGGGATTTACATCATTACCTTAATTCTTCTGTTAAGGATATATCTAGGTATATTGTTACTAAGTATTGCATGTTGGAGCATGAAAAACATAAAAAATTACTGCTTGATACAATGCATTCTATCTTAGGTCGTGTTTGTTTTACATGTGATGCTTGGTCTGCCTGCACTCCATGTTCTTATTTTGCCCTTACTGCTCATTATGTTGATAATAACTGGAAACTTCAGTCTAAAATACTTAATTTTCATCTTTTTCCTCCTCCTCATGATGTTGTGTCTATCTTTAAGTCTGTGAAAAAGATGATATATGAATGGGGTCTTGATAAAAAAACATTTACCATCACACTTTATAATGCTTCTGTAAATGATATAATGGTTAAGAGACTGAAAGATGATTTGAATGTCATTTCTCCTTTTCCCTACAATGGTAAGTATTTGCATATAAGGTGTGCTGCCCACATTTTGAACTTGATAGTTCAAAAAGGTTTGAAGGTAATTGATTATTCTGTTAATAAATTACGTCATATTGTTAAGTTTATTGATTCTTCCGACTCTCGACTTTGTGCCTTTGAATTAGTTGTTAAATACTGTGATTCTTCTTTATCTGGTAAGTTAGTATTGGATGTTCCTATATCTGGTAAGTTAGTATTGGATGTTCCTACTCGTTGGAATTCGGCTTACTTGATGATTCATAGGGCACTTGAGGCTAGATTAGGAATTAACTTGTTTGTTAATAGGGAAAATGAGTTGGATATCATTACTGATTATGAATGGGAAACAATTCAAACAATTTGTGATTTTCTTGAGCCTTTTTATGAAATTACTACTCTGTTATCTGGTTCTAAGTATCCCACTTCTAACTTGTATTTGGCTAACGTTGTTGCAATTGAGAAATTATTGTGTGATGCTCATAATGATCCTTGTGAAGGTATTTCTGCAATGACAGGACCAATGCTTGAACTTTATGAGAAATATTGGTCTGATCACTCTATGATTCTGTCTTTTGCTGTTTTACTTGATCCTCGATATAAATTACAACTTCTTAAGGAGTTGTACAATGTTCTTTATGTTGAGGATAAGGTTCAACGGAGGGTAAGTCTTATTTATGATGAGTTTCTTGAGTTATATGTATTTTATTCAAAAAAATGCACCTTGTGTTTCTTTTTCTTCTGTCCAAAGTAGCATATCCTTGGACAGAAGTGGCTCAAGTTTCAATCGGCCTCGAGCATTTAGAAAATCAAATTTATTTCAGGTTAGTTAATATATTTTCTAGTTGAATTTTAACTTATTTTTTCATGTTTTTATTTACTAATTTCTTGTTTTTTGTTTTTCAGAATTTTGATGCCAATTTAGCTGCTTCAAGGAGTAGACGATCTGATGTTGACTCGTACATCAGTTTGCCCATTGTCCATGGTACTGGAGAATCGGACTTTGATATTTTGGAGTATTGGAAAAATCAACGTGTTTCATATCCTGTACTTTCTCGCATGGCGAGATATATTGGCTATTCCAATTACTTCAGTTGCATCTGAATCGTCCTTTAGTATGGGGGTCGAATTTTGAACAAATTAAGAGCTTCACTCTTAGCAATATATGTTGAGGTTTTTGTTACAACCCGTAATTGGTTGTATGGTTTTGAGTCGGAGGATAAGGATGAAGACTATCTTACTGTGGTTAATGACTCTGCTATGTAAAGGTATGATATAATTGCTTTATTTTTTATTTTAATCTTAATGTTTCAAATTGTTTATTGATTATTTTAATTTTAATTTTTAGGGTGTTAACGTTAAGTGAAACCATTGGAATTTACGATTCAGTCTTATTTCTTCCGTTTACAGGTAACTTTTACTTATTTATTACTTATTGTATTTATTATGTTTAACATTAACTTAAACAAATTTTTATTGATGCTTTTATTTTTTTGTAGGATTTTTCTGTCCAAAGTAACACATTCTGATTTTGTTTGATATTAATTTTATTTTAATAAACAATGTTGAATGTTTGATTATGTAAGGGTTTGGTAAAGTCAGAAATGTTTAGCACTGTTGGCCGTCGTATTCCCTTTGGCTTTACCGCTGATTAAATGTTTGTTTAATGCAGAAATTCTTCTTGCTGCTTCCTGCTGCCTGTTGTTGCCTTGTATTTTATTTTGTTAGTCTGACTTAAATAGATTGTTGAAACTGTCATTTTTTTCGAAATAGCTACTCATGTTAAATTATGTTGGTAGCTTTAAAAGTTGCCCGTAATTTAACAATGTTGGCAGCTATTTCGATATAAAAGCTCGATGAAGAAATTTCTGATAGCAAAGTTAGGCTTTTAGCCTTATAACATTTTTTGTTATAATATCTGATAGCTTAATTTTTTTCTTCATTTTGTTGTATTCAACTTGAATTGACTCAAATGTTATTCAAATTTTATATTAAATGTTATTTAAATTATCATTATCATTTAAATGTTATTTATGTTATAATTTATATTTATATTTATATTTAGAGAATTAATCAATACTAATATTCATTAATTATCAAATTAATTATCAATTTATTGCCTAAATTATTTATATTAATAATGTAAAACATTAATATATATTACATAATAAATACTTTCATTATTAATATTATTTTTTATATAAATTAAACTATATAATTTATATAAATTAAACTATATTAATTTTCCTTTGCATTATTAATCATGTTTTATCTAATTTACATTTAAATAATTTTATTAAATAATTTTATATAATAGGTCTATTTATTAATTTAATTATCATAATAAATATTTTATTATAACATTTAAAAAGTAATCATATTAATTTTTTAATTACATCATAAGCTAAAAAAACTCATAATTTTATTAAAATCTTATAATTTCGTCAATGGAAATATATAAAATCAAGTAAATATTAGATCAGATAATTAACAAGTCAGATCATTTATAGGTTAGGTTAAAAACAGATTAGGTTAAAAACAGGTCAGATTCATAACAGGTCAGGTTGAAAACAGATCGGGTAATATCAGTTATTTACCAGGTCAATCTCGGGTTCGGGTTCATATCATTCGAATGCAGTTCGGGTTCGGGTATCATATTTTCGGTTCAGGTCGTTCTTAGGTCGGGTTTGGATCCACAATTTCCAGGTCCAATTCGGGTTCAGGTCGTTCTTAGGTCGGGTTCGGATCCACAATTTTCAGGTCTAATTTAGGTTCAGGTCAACACCAATTCCAACTTGAGTCGGTTTCGGATCGCTACAGCGCACCTCAAAAACAATTTTGACTCAAGTCGGTTTCAGTCAATTTTGCAGGTCGGGTCAGCTTTGTACAGCCCTACTGTGGGTGGAATTCGACATTGGAAGGGATCACCGCCGAGGTTGTTATGTTGACATGGCCGATGGGAGCGGACCAGTTTACGAATACAAAGTTATTAGTTGATCAACTGGGGGTGGGAATACGAGTGGGTGAGTCGTGTCAAATCAAACCGGAGTCCAGCACGTTGGCTCGAGTGCTGGTTGAGTCGATAGGTGGTAGCAGAGTAGAAAGGGCTCGAGTGAAGATGTTGAGTGAAGCAGCCCTGAATGCAGTTAAAGGTGGAAGCTCAGACAAGGATTTGGATTCGTTGGTTAAAGCGATGATAAATGAACTCAAACCCAAAACCAGAAGCAATACTATTTAAAGGTTGGGTATTTAACGGGACTGAGCTGTTGAACGTACAGTATCCGTATATAATCTAATCTCTAGAACCAAAGACCATGTATTATGGCGGAATATGAAATGAATTAAGAAAATTATTTTCATTTGTTGTTTAAGTTGTTGGTTTGATTTGGGTGTTCAGGATTAGTGTTAAGAGTATAAAATGAATAAAAAAAAAAGCAATAAAATTTGAAATTTGTGTTTGAGATTGAATGACAAAGCTCTGGTGAGAAGGCATCCATCTTATGATCATCACTAATCTTGTGTTTGTTGGCATCCATCTTACGATCATCACTAACCTTGTGTTTGAGATCGAATGACAAAGCTCTATTATGATTTATGCTGTCATATTTTGTGCAATTCGTTTGAATTATCTTTATAATCGTTCTTTTGATTATTGTTAAATATTTATTTGACTCATCCATTATGTTAGTTTGAGGTTTATCAAGAGGCCTTCGGTTTACATGATAAGATGAGCTTTTATATGCAATGTGGTGAGCCAATTGGTTTGGAACTCTAACTGGTCTTTATAAGTTAGAATATAACTTTTGATTATCGATGTTTAATGAGGGTACTAAATGGTCTCTAGTTGTTGTTGCACAGTCATTTCGAGTTTTTTTTTAATATTTAATTTATTTTCTTCTTGCTTGTAATGTACATAATTAAAAATTTATTTCCTAACAACCAAGTAATATTTTTAGAAAAATAACGACGAAGTAAACAATGTAATCTCTAAAGTTTAATGGTTAAATTAAATTAGTTTAAAATATAATGACGAAAATAAGAGTAATAATAAAGTTAGGTGACGGAATTTATAATTAACCGTTAAAATAAGGTTAAATTTTTTAAAAATATACAATGGTATTTTAGTAATTAAAGTATAGTGTTCTCTGCAGTTCACCCACAGATTCGCTTCGTACTATAAGGAAACATGGGCCACAGCCCACAGATGATTTCGTCCACTCTTATATTATAGTGAGCTTTTTCAGCTTTGAGTTTCTTGTTTCTCTCTTAATTCTCGTTTTCATCGTTAAAAAAAAAAACACCAAAACACACAACTTCATGGCTCGGAAATTCTTCGTCGGCGGCAACTGGAAATGCGTATGTTTATTCTTCTCCTCTGTTTTATAATAGATTTTAATTTCTAATTCAAAGTTTTTTGATCTATTGTTTTAGATCTCATATTTACTTCAGCATCGCGTGAAACAATGTTTTGTTTTAATATTCGACATTGAAAAACGTCGTTACATCTCGTTTTATCTTTGTACTAAAGCGTACTTGATCGGTAATTTAAATTAACTCTCTTAGGTTTTGAGATCGGATTCGTAGGTCTGTTTTGATTATTCGGTGTTTTATATGTATAAATTATATTTACTTTGAAAGGGGCAATGATTTTGTTTTAGAATGGGACAACTGAGGAGGTTAAGAAGATTGTTACTACACTGAATGAAGCTGAGGTTCCTTCCCATGATGTTGTGGGTTAGTGTTCGTTTTCCTTTTTTAGGTCCAAAATTTATTCCATTTTGATAACTATTGGAATATTTAAAATTTAATTTGAATGTGGCAGAGGTTGTTGTGAGCCCTCCATTTGTGTTCCTTACCCTTGTCAAGAGTCTGTTGCGGTCTGATTTTCATATCGCTGCTCAGAACTGCTGGGTCCGCAAAGGCGGTGCTTTCACAGGAGAAATTAGGTATATGCTTTTATCTGTTATCATCTGCTTTATAGATCATCTTTTATGGAAGGTTATATGTAACATTGTTGTTTAGTAGGCTCTAGTTTCTTATATCGTTTGTGTTTTATTGTTTAACTTCATGTTCTCTTTGAGCAGTGCGGAGATGCTTGTTAATTTGGGGATTCCATGGGTTATTATTGGTCACTCTGAGAGAAGGGCTCTCTTGAATGAGTCCAACGAGGTAAGTAATATGATTAGGTTCAGGTTATTTCATAACTTACCTAGTGAATTTCGTGCTTTGTTTATTGTCTCTCGAATGAATGAAATAGTTATTAGTATTGATTCTTAGTATTATTTCATGCCCCTTGGGTCTATTTTGAATGTTTGTCTCTGCAGTTTGTTGGAGATAAGGTAGCGTATGGGCTTTCTCAAGGCTTGAAAGTGATTGCTTGCATTGGAGAGACTCTCGAACAGCGAGAATCAGGCTCTACCATGGCTGTAGTTGCTGCACAAACCAAAGCAATTGCCGGTACTTGTTTTTGGAATATAAAAATCAAAGCAATTATTTTTTTCTAAGACATGGTACCATAGGTCTAATAGCTCCTTGGTTACAGTTTATGATTGTGGTCTCTATGGGTATTAATTTAACAACACGGTGCATGACACTTTTTCATTTATATATATATATATATATATATATTTAACTGTTGTTCATTTGCAGATAAAGTTACAAATTGGGATAATGTTGTTTTGGCATATGAACCTGTTTGGGCCATTGGTACTGGGAAGGTTGCAACCCCTGCTCAGGCTCAGGAAGTGAGTTTGAGTTTTATGCACATGTTACCGTTTTAGCCTTTGAGGGCAATCTATCAAGCTTTTGTTTGCATCTAATCCATTGCTTTGTAGTTCCTTCCTGTGAGAAATCATACCCTATTTTATGTTACATATTGATGTGTGATTGTGTGCTCCAGGTTCATTGCGAATTGAGGAAATGGCTTAATGAAAATGTTGGCGCTGATGTTGCTGCATCAACTAGAATTATATATGGAGGTATTTTTCTTTATTGCCTGAAGTATTGATTTTTTGTTTATTGTAATAAAGTATTGATCTTATTCAAGCGGTTTTAAGGAAATTTAGCATAGCCTATGTGAGCATGTAAACGTGTTATAACTTTAAAAATCTGGAAACTCTATGCTCCATCCTAACCTGTAAATAGTTCTTAACCATTCATGTTTCATTTTACTATTTCAGTATACCATTAAAAAGAAGTTTAAAACTTCGCTTGGTTCTCCATTAACTTTCAATTATTGGGTTCAACCCCGCAATCTGATTTTGCATCCATTGGGAATTAATGTAGGTTCCGTAAATGGAGCAAACTGCCAGGAGCTGGCCGGACAGGCAGATGTGGATGGCTTTTTGGTTGGTGGGGCTTCTCTGAAAGTTAGTAACTTTCTTTCTTGCTTTGCTTGTGCCATTGTTGATTCATTTATTTGATGTATTTTCTTCAAGTTGTGCAGTGCTATGCTTAACTTCTACTTTTTGTGTTTTTCTTTTCCTCCATCAGCCCGAGTTTGTGGATATCATCAAGTCCGCAACTGTGAAAAAGAATTGAAGTTCACAGCCTGGAATCATAGCTTAAAAGCATAAACAAAATTCTGGGGAAAACTTTTTAATTTTGTAGTTGTGGCCCCTTCCACAGAACCTCATATCAGACCAAATTTGACATTGTTTTCGTTGGTTTGAGACATGAATGCTCGTGTTGGACTTTCAGTGGATTTGTCTTTTTATGGTTCATTTGTTTTCTGCTCTTTCTTAGTGTCTGATCATATTTCGGCCTCGAATTTGGCTGTCCTAACTTAGTCGAACTACTAGGCAATTGGAACCCCATCACCCATTCCTAGTAAATTTTTTAACCCACGCAATCACCAGATTCAGATCCAACATTTTTCCAATTTGGTAATCTATGTTTCCCAAAAACATATATATATATATATAGCCTTATAAGTTCAAAATTTACTATTATATAATTGATATTTTATAACAATCTTGTCTATCAATTATATTTATATAAAATTAAAGTAGTTTTGGTCGTATCAGCCTTAACTAGATCCATCAATAATCATATATGCAAATACAATAAAATATATTTATATAAAATTAAAGTAGTTTTCGTCATATCAACCTTAATTAGATCCATCAATAATCACATAAACGAATACAATCAAATAACATATATTAATGAATGGAGTACAGTAAAAATTACATACAATGTAATATTTTCTATTTTTCATGAGATCAAAAAAAAATTTATTATGTCAATCATGAGTATATTCAGGTAAATTTAAATGGTCCTTTATAAACATTAATGTGATCTTTTTTTTGAATTCCCATTACTACATTAGCTCACTTATCTAAGAGCATATCTGGTCCGATTGGCCTAGTTAGGTTTCAGGTTTAAACATTTTCTTTATTTTGAATTGGGCCACTTGGGTTTATTATTTGTTAATGAACAGGTAGTTTATTTAAATTTAATTATAAAATGCATATATATTCATATTAATTATTATTTATTGATTAAAAAGTGCTTTATTAAAATTTAAATGGGCCATCAGTCGGCAATTCATTTTCTGGTGAAGTGAAATCAAGTAAGGTAACATTAATCAAAATTCGACATTTTTGGATAAAATGAAATAAACTAATTATAACTGAGATTAATTTAATGCAATTTTCATTTGTAAAGTCTGTTTAAGAATGAAACAAAGCTTTTAGGTTATGGTGGATAAAACTCTCAAGACCAAACGTTTAAGATGGGGAACAATCAATATTAATATGAGAATCATATTATATGATATTAAAGTGAATGAACTAGATTCTGAAATGAATATAAAACAAGGATTACAAGCACAATTTGACAAACATTATACATAGCTTTTAGAAATTAAGTAGTTGTAAAACCTTTCCCCTATAGCTAATAGTTGGTGATCTAACATTTCTAAATACATGCTTTTTCAAAGTTAGTTTTAAAGTAGTAATACAATAATCATTATAAGATATTCTTTAACAAATTCAAACATTAGAAAACACATGAACAAAAATTAATCCTGAATTTTGTTTTTTAAAATTGTTTCATTAAATTTATCTATAAATTTGAAAATTTAATAATTATTTTTTCAGTCACATGAACTTGTAAAGTTGATAAATATGCCTCCAAATCAAATGAAAATGGTTTGTTTATTATTATTGACATTAACTCTGTGTTCGCCAACTCCTGTGGCACGTCAAAGCGTCAATCTCGTTTGTTTGTTCTCGAGTCGACAGATTATGTCACCTCACCGCCCATATTTACTAATCCACATCCATTAAACTTAATTCCCTCCATTATTCAACCCTAAACCATGCTCCACATGTTTTTTAAAATTAATTTAATACATAGAAATTTGCCACTATGATACATTGGGCGCCGAATATATCTATCGATGTTTTGCTTCAACGCACAAAACCAAACCTTTGAATATTATTTAATCTGAAATTAAAATTAATTTAAATTTCAAATAATGTAATTTTAAACTGACAGATTCTAAACGATAAGAATTTAAAAATGCTATTGTTTAATTAAAAAATTAAATTAAAAAGAAGTGGATCCACGGAAGTGATAAGGATGTTGTAGACAGTTGTTTGAAAGGGGTCCCACGTAAGATCAAGAGGTCAAAGTAATCTGATTGATTCACAGGTAAGGCTCCTGTGTTTCACCAGAACCCAATTTTGAAAACATGCTATTACTCGAGTCCCTAGATGTTGTGGTCCTGATTAAAAAAGTCATCAAGTTGGACGGTCTTGATTAATTTTAACTTTTCTAGAATATTTTGACTTTAACATTCTATTTTAAGGTAAAAATATTTTTTCCATATAAATAGTTAATTAATGAATGATTAACATTTTAAAATAGGGGTTTTAATCCTAAAATGAAATATTAATAGTTAAAACACTCTAAAAAAACAAAGACCAAATAATAAAGGTTTTTCCTCTAAAATAAAATATTATGGACTAAAATAGAAATTAAAATAATTATTTTAATAAATATTATTTTTGGATAAGTTTGTATATTACCCAGCCATGACTGCTACAGAGTCGATTACAAGCAATATAAACATCAACCAGCCAACAAATTGCAACAAGAAAAAAACCCAATCAAATAATCAACTATCTACAAAATACCCCAACCAGCACATAATCTCACATTAACAAGATCAGTGCTATCAAAGGCCTTTCCCCCTAGTCGGATACGAAGTACCTCCTTCACTACATCCAAAACAGCCGCAGCCTAATATTTTAATAAATATTAGAATCTAATTGTAACATTATATTTTAATTAAAATAGCATAAACGAAAACCACTAGTCATCAATTGTTCTTAAATATACAAAATAACAAATTGTACAATGATGAAAACCACATGATTGACGTTAGATAAGATCAAATCCAAACATCGTCATAACCAGCCAAAAAAAATTATTCAAGGAAAGAAGATCAATAATGCAACAAAATTAAGGTTTATTTAAGGAAAGAACAGCAAAAAAGGCAACCAAATCTAGTTTTTAATAGGAGGTATGGAATCCAACCAGAAGCATCCTTTCAAAGTTTCATCAGCACTGAGTCATTGGCTCTAGAATCTTCATACTAATAAGTATCATTTGCAGCAAATTAAGGTATTTTGTCCGCACCTAGTGCTGTTTTCAAACTCAGGACCATCATAACAATGGGGAGCACCAAAAGGCAAAATCTTTCAACTTCTGTCACATTAAAAAAGCGTCCAACTTTCCGAGCAAGTGAAGTCAATTCCTTGAAATGATAAAGCAAACAAATAGTGAATGGGGATGGATCAGAACAGAAAGTTTCCTTGGGAGTTAATCCATACCATGAAAATACAAAAGTCTACCCTTACTTGATACTTTACCTTGAAAATGGTTTACCATTTGTCCTTTCAATTATCCAAGTACTACGATTACGGATTTTCCATTGAAAACCCCATTTTTTCAGGATTAAAAAAGTTTGTTTTTATTAGTTTATAAAGGAGACAGCTCTGAAGCTTAGCTAAGCCACCATCATTTTTGTATAGAGAATCCAACGACTCAGAAAAGATGGCCATGCTGTGCAAGCAAGGGGCTAACCATCTCTGACTTGACTCTCTAAAACTACGGGGAGGGGTAGTTATGCGGTGCGGCGCCTAAAAAACGGCTAATATACGGCGTGACCGGTTAAATAAGTGACCGGTTAAAATTTAGACCGGTTATGTTATATTATTTAACCGAAAATATTATAAAGTACAATAACATACTAGGTAGCGCTTATATAATGTAATAGGTAGCGCTTATATTTACCTATTTTATAAGTAAACCGGTATATTTATACCGATAGCATTGTAAATTTACCTATTACATTATATTATATTAAAAGTGTCCATACTTTTTATAAAAAGGATCGATACTTTAACAGTGTTTCATGTTTTCCACCTACAATATTAATTTAATAATTTCATTTGCACAAAAAATTATTTGATTGTTTTGATATTTTATAAAATAATATTTAGAATTTTTAATTTAATAATAATATATATCGTAACGTAAAAAATAAATCATTAGACGCCTATAATTACTAAATTAATATTTTAAAACTCACTCAAAAGATAACCTTAAATTAATGTTTTCCACAGTGAAAAAAGTATGGACACTTTTATAAAAAGGATAGACACTTTACAATATAACCACTACCTATTACATTATATAAACGATACCTATTACATTATATAAGGGCTACCTATTACATCATATGTTTACCTATTATATTGAAAGTGTCCATACTTTTTATAAAAAGGATCGATACTTTTTTTAAAAGTTATGTAATTTATGTTTCAATTTTTTTAACAGTGTTTCATGTTTTCCACCTACAATATTAATTTAATAATTTCATTTGCACAAAAAATTATTTGATTGTTTTTATATTTTATAAATAATATTTAGAATTTTTAATTTAATAATATATATCGTAACGTAAGAAATAAATCATTAGACGCCTATAATTACTAAATTAATATCTTAAAACTCACTCAAAGGATAACCTTAAGAACACTTGAAGAAGCAAGAGAACAACTATCCAAGCAATCAAAAACGAGAAAATCCCAACATGATAACAACTGAACATATCATATCAATGTTCAAACTCAAGTTGTAGATTTTGATTTCCTTTTGCTTGGCATCATATGAGATTTGGATTTTGATTTCCTTTTGCTTGGCACCATATGAGCTTTGGATTTTGATGAGCATCGGAAGTATTTCAGACTTATGATTTGGGTGGTACTCAACTTATGATTTTAGTTGCTATTTGTTACATTTCTTGTATACCACCCAGATCATACGCCCGAAACGTTTCTGACGCTTTAAAGTTGACCAAAAAATAAAATGGTCGGGATTTCCCTCGCGTTTATACGTTGGAAAAAAAACAATGGGAATTAGGAATAATCAATGATAACATGCATATTGGCTTGAGCTAGTATTTATAGTGGAGCCGAAATATATATTGAAATTCAAACTCAAATTGAAATTTAAATTCAAACTCCAATTACATATGAAATGAATTTGAAATGCAGTGTTAAATTGAACATGAAAATTGCATAATTGATTCATACTGTTCAAGTAACATGCTTTATGAACCATCAAGCTAAAAGACAATATTGATTGAGTTCAAAGCTGAGTTGTGAGTTGATGGAGTTGTCAC